GGGTAAGCATTCCTGGAAGAGGAGTGGAAGTGAATTAAACACCAGCAGAGGTTAGGAATCCTGCAATGTGTAACTCACCTCCTGACTCTCCAAAACCTGTCCACTATCTATGAGGCACAAGTCAGAATTTTGATGCGATGTTCCCCACTCGCCTGGATGAATGTAGATCCAGCAACATTCAAGAAGATTGATACCATTCAGGACAATTTAATACCCGTTCTAGTAGATCAGAAGTTGAATATGTTCTGAAGTTGAAGCTTGATGCTGAAGTAGGGCAAATGAACGCCACCTTGTGGGACAATAATGACACTGATCAATCATTTTTCACTGTATATCGCACAGACTCATGAATGGCAGTTAGCCTGTCATTTTGTTTCCTGACAAGTGCCCAATCAACCTCAGACTACCCTGAATGTCTGATCTATCTCAAAAGTTTGAGCAACAGGTGAAGCTTGCTGTTACACACTGTTAACCTCCTTTAGATCCTTCAATAGTTCAATAGACTCCTAAGATGCTCTGACATGCTTCAGCATCCTGTAGGACAGCATTGAACCACGGAGGGGCAGCACTTTGAGATTTTCATGTGACCTTGACATCAAGCGCTGTCACTCTCACCTTTTGACAATGTTTGAACCAATGCTGTAATAAGGTCTGGGGCTATTAGCAGTCCAGGAGTCTGACACTGATGGGGGATGAGCAATGCTCAGTGAACACAACTCCTTCAATAAGAGTAAAATGCTGTGATTACTGGAAATCTGAAATAAAAACAGAAATTGATGGAGAAACTCAGCAGGTCTGGGAGCAACTGTGGAGCGAGAAACAGAGTTAATGTTTCAAGTCCAGTCTGACTCTTCTTCGGACCTTTGGCTCTGCCTATTGTTCCTGTGTCTGTCTATAAATGACTGAGACCACAGGGTTGTCTTCTGCCTGGGCCTGAGCAGGTCTTGGGTACCTGGCAGTCCTCCAAGTGTCAGAGAACTTTGGGGCTCCTGGAATGTTCCTTCCAGGTCTGGAGAAGAGTCATCCCAGACTCAAAACGTTAACTCTCTTTCTGGTCCACACGTCCTACCAGACCTGCTGAGTTTCTCCAGCATTCTCTGTGTATGCTGCTTCCTTGACAGACTGCAGAGATGTGTCAGTGCTGTGTCCATCAGATCGTGTTGTTGAATCCAATTGTGAAAGAGTACCCAGTGAGGTGGAAGTCTCTAGACTGGTGGAGGGTGCAGGCGAACAACTTGCCGGTGCAGCCTCTGAACGCTCAGTATCTTCGCCCTTAGAGGATAAGGTGGAGCTGAATGTGTCTGGTGCTGGCCTCTCTGTTGACACTCACTAGGTGCTGAATGTACCAGCATGAGACCAGAGAGAGATTTAGCTATTGAACAGAGATGAAAGCTTGTGCAGATTAATACTGAGTGAGCAGCGGTGGCAGTGGGAGAGAAGGGCAGTGCAACACCAGGAAGCTTACTCTGTAGGTTGTTCATTGATGTTCCTCCATCCCCACATGACCAATCTCACTGTTCCCCATCCAACACCAGAAATCTCACCTTGTAGAGAATGAGGAGCCTAGTCTCAGACCACTCAGTCTGTGGGACATTTAATCCTATAATAAGGCAAAAGGATAGATTGAATATGATGAGGATGAATGAACAAGCAGTCACTGGTGGCAGAAGAGGTGGAGCTGGGGTGAGGTATCTCCCATGGTGAGTAGGATGTGTGGACGGCATGAGGTTAGTTGTTTTGGAAGATGAGGTGGGTGAGAGCTGTTGAATGGACATGTGCTTGTAACCGTGAGAGCTGTGGTGCATTGGGCTTGGTGAGAGGTTTGTGCAGTGACAGAGTGTGTGTTAGCCCTGGGAGTATGGGTGTGAGAGAGATGATGGAGGCACTTACCCTTGGTGAACACGGAAGCTGATTGACGTTCCTGTGGTGCTGGGCGTCCAACTTCATTGGGGCACAGCACTGACCTGGGTCGCTATCCAGATCCAGGCCAGCTTTGTCTGGTGGCAAGGCCTCCTGTGATGGTCAGCTGGACGATTGACTCCTCTCCATCAGGGCACACCTCTCCATCCGGGCACTCCTCTCCATCTGGGAACTCCTCTCCATCAGGCAACTCCTCTTCATCACACCATCCGGGCACTCCTCTCCATCCGGGTACTCCTCTCCATCAGGGAACTCCTCTTCATCCGGGCACTCCTCTCCATCACTCCAACCGGGCACTCCTCTCCATCCGGGAACTCCTCTTATCACTCCATCCGGGCACTCCTTTCTATCTGGGCACTCCATTCCATCACTCCATCCGGGCACTCCTCTCCATCTGGGCACTACTCTCCATCAGGGCACTCCTCTCCATGCAGGCACTCCTCTCCATCAGGGAACTCCTCTTCATCACTCCATCCGGGCACTCCTCTCCATCACTCCATCCGGGCACTCTTCTCCATCAGGGAACTCCTCTCCATCAGGGCACTCCTCTCCATTACTCCATTCGGGCACTCCTCTCCATCACTCCATCCGGGCACTCCTCTCCATCTGGGCACTCCTCTCCATCACTCCATCCGGGCACTCCTCTCCATCCGGGAACTCCTCTTCATCACTCCATCCGGGCACACCTTTCCATCTGGGCACTCCATTCCATCACTCCATCCGGGTGCTCCTCTCCATCTGGGCACTCCTCTCCATCACTCCATCCGCGCACTCCTCTCCATCAGGGCACTCCTCTCCATCCGGGCACTCCTCTCCATCAGGGAACTCCTCTCCATCAAGGCACTCCTCTCCATCCGGGCACTCCTCTCCTTCAGGGAACTCCTCTCCATCAGGGCACTCCTTTCCATTACTCCATTCGGGCACTCCTCTCCATCACTCCATCCGGGAACTCCTCTCCATCTGGGCACTCCACTCCATCACTCCATCCGGGCACTCCTCTCCATCTGGGAACTCCTCTCCATCCGGGTACTCCTCTCCATCAGGGCACTCCTCTCCATCTCGGCACTCCTCTCCTTCTGGGTACTCCTCTCCATCCGGGCACTGCTATTTATCACCCCATCCAGCAACACCTCCAGGTCATTGTTTGTAAAATGGGGAGCACATTTTCCTTTCCTCAGGGCCATGTCCTGAACGATGAAGCTCAAGTACTAAAGGGTGAAGCTGTGTTCCTGGTTTGCTGCCACTGAAGTGCACAGCTGGGCTTTAGAATTAACACCAGAGGCTAGTACACTGGAAGATTGTACAAGTGATGAACACTTCTGCGTTTCTGGCCACGCAGTTCCCAGGGCAAGGTGCACAAAAGCCCTGTTGTATAATTAATGAAGTGAAGCATGGAAGATTGCATGGGGCAAGTTGCTCAGAGCAATGGCAGGTCATTACCACATTGCTGTTTGTGGGAACTTGCTGAACTTCCCTGCACTACACTAGTCATGTGAGCCACTGCTGGTTCTGTAAAGTAAAATTATGAACTTGACTTTTAACCCTACTAATTGATTCGGAACTACAAAGTATCGCTGCGCAGAATGTTTCTTGGAGTATATTAAAAACTTGAAATGATTATTGCAAGTTATGAAGTTTTTGACCACATTTTAATATTTCCTGTTGCATATTTTTATTGTAACAAGCATGTTCTCGTGCTTATGTGCATTGGAGAAAAATCTATTCCTTTTGAATGTCATTCATCACATTATCAGAAGAAGTACCAGAATATTTATAAGAATGAAGTAAGCTGAAAATAACATTAATCTCATTCTTCACTCAGTTTTAATAGCATGTACTAATTTCCTCTGATTAACAGTGCGGGCCTTGTATCTTAATGCTGGTATTGGTTGAAATCAGATGCAGTAAATCAAGCAGTGCTGACTCAAGGAAATAGGTGACATGGGACAGAAACTGAGGGCAGTGATCAAAATGGGAGCAGAGTAGAAGCTGATGATGATGAAAATGGAACCAGAATGGAGACAGAACTCAGCCCTCTTTGCCCTGTAGAGAGGTCTCAACTCATCAAACAAGGTGCCCACATTGAATTATCTTTTCAACTAACCTTGCCCTTCGCTAGTGAGAATTCAACTCTCAATACCTCATTTTGTCCAAGAAAGATTTGAGGCAATGATTTTCAACACTTTTAATACCTCAGTTCTGAGGAAGGCTCACTCAACCCAAAAGTTAACTCTGATTTCTCTAAACGGATGCTGCCAGACCTGCTGAGCTTTTCCAGCAATTTCTGCTTTAGTTTCTGATTTACAGCATCCATAGTTCTTTTGATTTTTATTTTCAATATTTTAACAGGTTTTCAAAGTAAGATAATAACATAGCTGAAATTCTAGATCTTCTTTGAATGGGAATCACATAAATGCGGCTGTGGCAATGAGTCAACATTCAGTATGGCAGCAACAATGGAAGATGGCTTTTCCTTTGAAACCAAGACTTGAAATTAAACAGTTTCATAATTCTGAAATATTTCAGTGAGTCATAACAGAATGATAAATATTTGATACAATCTGAAAGGTCAACTTGCGGACTTATAATTGATAAAGAGGTTGAACTTATGATTGGAACTAGGATGAATAGATTGGAAAATCAGAGGGTTAATAAATTATACTGACTGCAGATGTTGGCATATTTGAAGCCTTGAAAAGTCCCTCTAGAAATGAGAGTCAATCTTTACACTGAGCAGGAGAGTAAATTGCCACTTGGGTCAGGCCAGTTGCAATTTTGAAATGGCATCAACTTCCGGTGCAAGAAGTCAGCATTTCTTAAACCACCGTGCACTTTCACACGCAGGCTATATCACTTGCTTAAACACATTTTCTGAAGAAGGGTCCCGACCCAAAACTTCAGCTTTCCTGCTCCTCATGCTGCCTGGCCTGCTGTGTTCCTCCAGCTCCACACTGTGTTATCGCAGACTCCAGCATCGGCAGTTCTTACTACCTATATATCACTTGCTTGACCCTTTACAGCTCATTATAAGGTGATGCTAAGATTATAAGAATTATAAGAATTGAAAAGTTAAAGATATGTTTTTTTTTTAGAAATGGCTTTATTAACACCTGTTACTGCTTTCAGTGAACAAGTCAACCCTCTCATCAGGTTTTTAAACACAGTACATCGCTTCATCATTTTCCATCTTCTTTTCAATCTCTGCGATCACTTGCAGTGTAGAACTTGGGATTTCATTTCTCAACTCAAACAAGAATTCTCTAAACCCAATCAATATTGCTCAATATAGAGAAAAAAACAGAAGTTGCTGGAAAAAGCTCAGCAGATCTGGCAGCATCTGTGAACAAAAATCAGAGTTAATGTTTCGGGTCCGGTGACCCTTCCTCAGAACTGATGGTAGCTGGGAAATTGTTGGTTTATATGCAGAAAATAAGGAGAGGGATGGGGTAGGGAGTAAACGATAGGATAGAGCCCGATGAGAGAGAACAGTTGGATAGACAAAGGAGTTGATAACACACTACCTATTGTTAATCACTAACAGTGTCCATTAACAACCACTCACTCTCCTTTCCAGATCATTATCAACTCCTTTGTCTGTTCTTCTCTCTCTTTGGGCTGTATCCTATTCTTTACTCCCTATCCCATCCCCCTCCCTATTTTCTGCATATAAACCCACGTTTTCCCAGCTACCATCAGTTTTGAGGAAGGGTCACTGGACCCAAAATGTTAATTCTGATTTTTCTTCAAGATGCTGCCAGATCTGCTGAGCTTTTCCAGCAACATCTGTTTTTTCCCTCCTGATTTACAGCATCCGCAGTTCTTTTGGTTTTTATTCACTGATAGAGAAGATTGCCATTGCTTTGGCTTCCTGTAAGTTACCAGCTTTAAATGAAACCAAGTGTCAAACAAGTACTTTTTCACATGTGGTCTTTCTAGTCAATTACCAAGTTCAACAAAATGAACATTGGGAAGTCAAGACCCAAGGTTATACTTTGTAACATATCTGTTTAAGCATGGTATCTTTGCAAATTACACTCAAAGCTGATCGAACAAAATTTACATCAATATAAAATAAAAAGATGCAAATCCCTGGAGAATGAACATTTATCCCTTTGTTCCAATTATGTTATAGTAGTACACAATCAAATCTTTTGAGTTATGTGCAACTTTATTGCCCATCTCAAATGCTCTGCATAAGTGGAATTTTACTTCATTAGTTTATTTCTCTTGGAATATGTTAATAAAGGCATGGCCTGTATAACTTTTACCAATAGGTGGACCCACAATTTTTATAATAATCACCTCATCCACCCTGTACATTCCCGTCTCTTCATTCCAATAGTGGTGAAAGATTCCCAAACTGTTAACTCCGCCCCCAACTATGCACAATGACAGAATTTCCTTTCCACCTATGTAAATATTTGGTGATTGACTTATTGTTTGAAAATGCATGTGTTAGTGTTTTAATTTGAGTTGCTTTCTTATTATGGTTGTGAAAATTTGCTGTAGAGAGAATTGTCAATAAAAATTGAGCATCCCTAAATGTAATTGCTTCACCTTTGGCAGCCATGCCTTCAGTTTCATGGAACATAGAACAGTACAGCACAGTACAGGCCTACTAAGATCAATCTACCCTGCATACCCGACATTTTACTATCCTCCATGTGCCTATCCAAGAGTTGTTTAAAAGTCTCTAAAGTATCTGACTCCACTACCACTGCCGGCAGCGCATTCCACATACCCACCACTCTCTGAGTGAAGAATCTACCTCTGATACCTCCTAGGCTCCCAGCGCCCCCACTGGCTATAGAATCACACCACCCCACCACCCCCCACACCCCGCTCCCCGCCTAAACCTAGGAGCCTCTCAGCTCCAGTTTTCTCTCAAAGATGCTCTTAAAACATACCTTTGGCCACCTGTCTCAATATGACCTTTTGTTTAATAATGACCCTATGAAGCACTTTGGGACATTTTACAATGTTAAAGACATGTCAGAAATACATGATTTATCGAAGTGCAGATTTCCACCTTTTAATGTTCTACTATTCTACAGTATTGTAAACAAATCTCTCTGCAACTGACATTGCCACAAATACAGCACTCCACCCTGACTTGGAACTACATTGCTGTTCCTTCACTGTTGCTGGGTCAAAATCCTAGAGCTCCCTCCTTAAAGGCATTGTAGAGTGCCCCTGCACCCTATGGACTGCGATCACCAGCTTCTCAAGGATGGTTGAGGATGGACAATAAATGCTGACCTAGCCAGAGATGCCCACGTCCCATAAATTTTTTTTAGAATTCTCTGAGACTGAGAAATAATTCCAATAGGCTGTAAAGGGAAAAAACAAAACATCTTGGTGAACATACAAAAACATAACAATTCAATAACCTGTCTCTAGAAGAAATAGATAAGCAGCACCTCTCTCAGAATGTTAGTGTACAATCTTCAGATATTTCTAACACAAATTGCAAAGGACACAGAGTCCAGAACTGCAAAAAAACCAAATTGACCCTATGTGTTTGCATCACCAGTTCTATTCCTTGTAGACTAAATGTTCAGATTTTCCATCTTACTGCACAGGAATGTATGCACTTTCTTTGGGATATGCCCAATTTTCCTGTCTGACTGTTCTACTGGCCAAGTCCAGACTTCCTTCCACGTTTTCCCTGCTGTTTTGTTCTTGGACTGGAATGTGCACCTCTTGGCCACGACTGCTGTTCTGTTCCTCTTGGATAGGGACACACACACTTTCTTCAAAGTTTTCTTCCTGTACAGGGAAACCTGCATTTGCCTCAAACTCACAACTGCTGCTTGGCTTTGCCTCTCTTGTGGGGAATATGCCATTATCCTTGTAGATTTCTTGCCTTGCGGGAAAATCAGCTATGTCATTCATTTCTCCTCTGCTGTCCTCTTCTGCCGTGTGATTCACTTTGACAATTACGTTGAAGACAACTGAACCACCAACACTCAGCACAGACTGACCGCTTGTATTGTACGTAGTATTACCTCTGCAAGAAAATCCTGGCAAATTATATGAAAAAATATGTTTAGTTTAGTGTTCTGCCGACTATTTTTAAATACGCGAACCACCGAACCAGTTTCTTGGAAATTAACAGTAACTTGAGAAGTGGCAAACATTTGGAATACATCTTTGATGGACAAACAGGAGCTGTGTGCATTACTTCAAAATGTAAAGAGGGTAATCTGTATCAGGGAAGCAAGAGAATCCACTGAGAGGAAGTCAGTGCAAGGAATGGAGACACTTTTAGAATCAGACATTTAGTAACAATTTACACTATTGATATGAAGGCCTGGGCGCTAGTGGGTAAAGAGGTAATGAGGAGTATTTGGAGATAAAGAGTCAGTCATTTAGGACTGAGATGGAGAGAATCATAAAATCCCTACAGTGTGAAAGCACATCGAGTCCACATCAACCCTCTGAAGAGCATCCCACCCAGGCTCACCCCACCACCCTATCCCTGTAACCCTGCATTTCCCATGGCTAATCCACCCAGCCTGCTCATCCCTGGACACTATGGGTCAATTTTACATGGCTAATCCACCTAACCAGCACATCTTTGAACTGAGGGAAGAAACTGGAGCATCGGAGGAAACCCACACAGACATGAGAGAGGGTTCTGAATGGCGAGAATTCTTTAACTTAGAAAGTTCTGGATACTCAGATCTTGAGTATGTTCAAGAGCTGAGGTCAACAGATTATTGAACACTAAGGAAATCAAGGGTTATGGAAGGTACAGTCCGTGTTGAAGGTCGGCTATGATTGGAAAGGTGGAGTAAGCTTGAAGAACTATATGGTTTACTCTTGTTCCTAGTTCCTACATGTGCGCATTACATTATCTTAAAGACAACAGTTCAAAGTGTTTAAGATAAAGACATTAGTTTACCAGATGGCGTTGAATTTCCCGATTTGTGACTGTTTTCATTGCCTGGATTTGGGTGGTCAGATTCTGTGTTGTTAGAACTATGTCCGTCGATATTGTCCGACCTCTGACTATATCTGCAAAAGTTACTTGGATGACTTGTGTGACAATCACACTTTGCAGTATGACCCTTGTTTGACTCTCCGGAAGGCAATGGAGATGAACTACCCAAGGTCCAAGGGCTACCAGATGATTCTGCCAGGCAGTCTCTGCAGGGGACTGTGTTGACACCGTGTTTGCTTTCTTGTGTGAGTAGAATTCCATGAGTTGGTTCTTCCACTGTATGTCCAGAGGGCAATAAGGGATTAACAGATTTTCCAGTGCTTGGATCTTCCAAATGTGTGGCACTGCAGCCTTCCCCTTGGTTTCCAATGTAGCACTTACCATTGGGATTCTCCCTTGGGATTCTTGAAGAATGTGTGGCATTGCACATGGACGCAACTCCATAGCAAGAATTCAAAACAATGTTAGAAACTGGATGCTCTGAAAATGCAGACAATATGGAGCCACTGACATCATCAGTTGCCTTCATTGGAGTCTTGGGTGATATGAACAGCTCACTCTCTGGATCCCAGTGATGATTATCAATTGGCAACCTATCAATTGCTTGATCAGCAGGTGGGTGTCTCTGGAAAAACAACAGAATATTTTCAGAGTGACAGGCAAAGAAGCTGAAGGAAAACATTACATTTGACCAAATCCTGTGCATCTATCAACAAAGCTGCAATTAAACAGAGTTGAATACGTTGATCCATTTTGACATTTCAGTGATTAAGGTCACAAATTAATTCATTCATTGACAAGTCTTAGAAATTCCCTTCAGGCTGATTGGCTTGAAATAGTAGGTTTACTATATTGGTGTGAGGTGATAAGCACTATGATCTGAATACATACATGCTCACTGAAATCTATGCTATGCCGTGCTCTTGTGCCATCCTCACACATCGCAAGTAGCCTGTCTGCAACTGCTCTGTCACTTCTGACCACCAACCACCAATATCTAGCTTGACTTCTTTTTGTGCTGCCCCCGCCCTGGAAGGGATCTCTGTGCTACAGTGCACAGCTTTGATCAAATGCTCAAGTCTTTTTTTCTGGTTGTAAGCTTTTTCAGTTTCTTTGGCTCTTGCAATTTCAAGTACCTCTGCCTGGACCTTATGTTCTATGCATGGAATGTTAACTGTTATGTAATGGCACTAGGACCTGGAGCAATCTTGTTACTACGTGTCAGAGCTGCAAATCACTCAGTATAAATATCACAGAGTAGATGGAGAAAGAAGGCCCCTGGATGAAGATTTCTGAAAGACCTACAGGAATGTGTAACTCCCTGGAAGAGAGACAGACAGCACATGAATACTTGAAGAAAACAGATTAGTCATTACCTAATGTAACAGTCAGTCAGTGCCTGGTATGTCTATAATTAATTTGTATCACATTATAATGTATAATAAATAATGTTTTGGTGAAGTCTAAGCCTGAAGATAGTCCTTGACTTTGTCTTCTCCTCAACCGTCTGTAAAGAATCCAAGTTATACTGTGGCATGAAACCATTAAACAAGAAGTGGTATCTGAGGTAGAATACCGAACCAACAAAAGATTAGCAGATATCTGAACAGCCACATTTCAAAGTCCACAATTTTGTCCTATACTTATCTGCCAGGTTTCTGAGGCATGATGAAAAGTGAATAGAATGTAGCATCTTCTGAGTTCTTTTTACCTTGTTACAAGCTTGGATTTTCTTATTAACACATCCTTCATCTTCACAAAATTACTTCTGTTCATCCCCTTCCTCCATTTTCTCTCCCGTTTCCTAAAAAAAGCTTTATTTTCTTCATTATCAGGATGTCTCTAATGAACTAAGGTGAATATTCACATTTCATTGTCTGTGTCAGTTGATAACAATAAAATCAGCTTCTTTTTGGGAGTTGTTTTACTGGCAGTGTGTTGCATTATCAGAAATCAGGAGTTGCAATACTTTAAAATCAGAGCAGACTGGAAATGAAAAGTATCCTCACCATCTACATTAAGGGAACTGAGGTTGAGAGGGTGAAAAGCATCAGGTTCCTTGGAGTGACGATAACCAACGACCTGTCCTGAATGTCCCATATAGATGCACCAGTCAAGAAGGCACAACAACGCCTCTTCTTCCTCAGGCAGCTCAGGAAATTTGGCATGTCCATAAGGCCCTTCACCAACTTCTACAGATGCACCATTGAAAGCATATTGTCCGGGTGCATAATGGCCTGGTATAGCAACTGCTCTGCCCAGGACCGTAAGAAACTACAGAAGGTGGTATGCATAGCCCAGACCATCAGGGAAGCCAACCCTCCATCCATGGACTCTATTTATACGGTTTGCTGCCACAGAAAGGCGGCCAACATCATCAACGACCCATCTCACCCCGGTAATGACCTCCTACATCCTCTTCCATCAGGCAGAAGATATAGAAGCCTGAACACATGCACCAGCAGGTTCAGGAACAGCTTCTTCCCAGCCGTTAATGGACTCTAGCCTCAAATAATGCTGATCCTGCTAACATTGATCTCACGTAGTGCATGCTGTGCAATGTAATCTGTATGCATCTGTCTAAGTCTTCTTGATCTGTACATTCTTGCTTACCATGATCTGCCTGTACCATTTGTAAACAAAGCTTTTCACAGTATTTCGGTACATGTGACAATGAATGAATGAATCAATCAATCACAATACTGCTTTTAAGTCTCCTTCATGAAGTTAGTTTGGGAACTCTTGATTTAGCTTCCAACGGGCACTGGAGCAAATTCAAACAGTCATTCCCAATTCAGCATGAGTTACAATCCAGCCAGATAAACTGCACAACAGCCTATGTGAAAATTTTAATAATGACATGCCAACTCCCCAAGAGACTGTTCATCCATTGACTCTATCTACACTTCCTGCTGCTTCGGGGAAGCAGCCAACATAATCAAAGACCCTCCCACCCTGGTTATACTCTCTTCCACTTTGTTCCATCGGGCAAAAGTTTGAAAACACGTACCTACAGATTTAAGAGCAGCTTCTTCCCCAGTGTTATCAGACTTATGAACAGACCTCTCGTATATTAGAGTTGGTCTTTCTCTGCACCTTCTCTGTAGCTGTAACCCTATATTCTGCATCCTGTTCGGTTACCCTGATATACTAATATAAGGTATAATTGGTCTGGTTAGCATGCAAAACAATACTTTTCACTGTATCTAGGTACGTGTGACAATAATAAATCAAATCAAATCAAAAATCATCTGAGTGTCAAGATTCAGTTATTGGATATTTGATGGTGCTTATTGATTGAATTGGGTAATAACCCCTTCCCAAGCTTTTTGAGCAAAGCTTAGATAGTTTTAGAGGAATTTTGCCCCAAATAGTTCAATATAATAACACCTGAAAGCTTATCCAATGAGTTTTACAACTCCAAATTTAATTATTATGCTAAACTTAAAATTGGACTGAGACCCATTGTAATAGTTCATGTCTCTCCCTTTACAAGATGTCATGGCAACACACTTCCGAATAAACTAAGGGAATTTGAGAGGCTCTATTATTTTACAGAAGTCTTGACCAGTTTTTCAGTTCTACACAGTTTTGCAGTTTTATTTGGCTTCAACTCACTTCATTTCTCTGTTTCCCTCTAGTGCTGCACCAGGCATCAGCAAATCTCTGTTGAGCACAATCTACATGGAAGGTGACATGTCAAATATTAGATTATGATACAGTATCAAAAGCAGAAGATGTAATTAAAATCAATGCTTATTTCCCCATAAAACAGTTGCATTATATTATGATGTACAGGCAGAATAGAAATTGATCCACAACTTACACAGGTTATTCCTGGTGCCATTATCCCGGTCAATTATCACTACTGGAGCAACAAACTCAATAAATTACCATTAATGGGGCAATAAACCCAATAACCTACCACTACTGGGGAAAACACGCAATGAACTACCAGTACCGGGTCAAACACTCAATGTACTGGGCAATAAACTACTACATATAGGGAAATAATCTCAATAAATTACCACTAATGGGGCAAAAACTCACAATGAATTACTATTAATGAGGCAATAAACCCAATAAATTACCACTACCAGGGTAACAACTCCAGTGACCTATCACCACCAGGGTAATAAACACAAAGAACTACCACTGTTGAAGCAAAAAATCCAATGAGCTACTGCAGCTTTGTGAGATATTGTATTATGATTCTCTTTACTAACTCACTCACAAGCGCTCTGTGTTTACTATACCGCGTTTTCATTCATTCATTCATAAAACCACATTTTTGTAGCACATTTTACTCTTACGAGATAAACTAAATTAAACATCCCTTCCTAGACTGCCAACCCATTACTGTTTCTTTACACCTTTCAATTCCTATCGGCCCCATACTGCAAGCAGTGTTTCAACCTGTTTTTGTATCAAACGCTACCCCTGAATAAGTGTTAATACTGTAGCCTACTCAGAACAATGTCACCCCCACCACCATGTCTCCATAACTCACTCAAAACTATGAAAAGATTATAACATTAATTAGCCCTTCGTAACCGTCTCTCGGGACCTGAATAGGCTGCAGAACATCAAACAGTTTCCTTCACCAGCATGTCCCTACAGTCTGGTGTAGAGCTGGATGAACACAGCAGGCCAAGCAGCATCACAGGAGCAGGAAGGCTGACGTTTCGGGCCTAGACCCTTCATCA